GAAACAGAAGTACTCTCTGATGAATCTTATTATTTATCAGTATGGAGGTTCATAAAACACTAAAAACAGACCTATCTTATGACCCTGCATATTTCCAAAGGAGTGTAAATCAACACATAAGACAGAAATACCTGCACACCCATGTTTACAGCAGCATTAGTCACAATAGCTAATCTATGCAATCACCCTAGTTGGCCAGAGAATATTATTCATCGATAAGTAAGAATGGAATTATGTCATTTGCAGGAAAATGGATGGAACTGGAGATCATCATGTTGAGCAAGAAAATCCAAGCTCAGGAAGCCAAACATCACATATTTTCACTCCTATGTGAAATCCAGACCTAAAATAATGATGATGGTAGGGCTCGAGTGTAGAGGGAGCATATCAGGGGGATCAGAGGAAGGGGGACAGGGAATGGAGAGGATACTGGGAAGATATCTATCTCTCTATAGATAGATAGATAGATAGATAGATAGATAGATAGATAGATAGATAGAGATAACATAAAACCTGCCAAACACTGTTCACAAAGGGGGGAGGGTTAAGGGACTACAATAGAGGGGGTGACCTTGTGCAAAGTACACTGTACCCATCTGTGGAATTATAACAATGAAACCCCCTTGTGCTATTAATATATGCTAATAAAAATATAGTTTAAAGAAAGACCACTACAGCACCCTGGAATGCGGGAACAGAGGTAAGACAAACCCTAATCCCACAAACAGTGCTAAGAAGAAGGGTACCAATTACTAAAGTGACCAGGATGTGACAACTAGAGAGACTACTTTGATCTGGAATCTAAAGACTCTTTAAAGTTAACTAAAGCTAACTTTAGTTGTGCATAATGGTAGGATTAATTATATAATTAATCTCACTCTAAGTTAATTACAGTGGATAAGGTGAGAAAAGTCAAAGAAGAAGGTAAAGGTATTCTGATAAAGCAATCACTTCAATTCTTCCTTTGGGTGGAGCTTAAAGAAAGAAAGAAAGCAGCCTCCTGGCCCCCTTACCTGCAGGTATTCCATGGTTTCAGCTACCCATGGTTAGCTGCAGTCTGCAAATACTAAATGGAAAATTCTAGGATGTACTATAATTATTTTTATTATTCTTGTTAACTTTTACTGGGCCTAACGTATTAATTTTATTATATATGTGTATTAATAGGAAAAATCCCAGTATACATAAGATTCAGAAGAATTCACATTTTCAGGTATTCACCTTGGAACATTTTCCCTGAGGATAAAAGAGGAAGTGTGTTACCACATACCATGACAGGGACAGGGTGACATCCAGTTTTATAACCTGTTTATATGGCCATAGAAAGTGAAAAATGTTCATTTCCTAATTTTGTCATGACATGCATTGTCACTAACATATTATTTAGATGGCCTAAACTGAGAGATCAACAGCTGAATGACATTTACTGGCCCTGGTGGTTGGGCACTCAAGTCAAGTGCTATGGTGGGCTTCGTCATTTCCCAGAACAACTTCATCACTAGCCCCTGTCTATTCTCTGGTTCGTTCTGCCTCCTGCCAGCACATCAACACGTCTTTCTCCACGAGTGCTTGCAGTTTCTCATTTCAAGAGCATTCTATGTCTTCTTTCAGAAGGAACCAATCCAGTTGTCCTGTTTACCCAAGGCAATAATGTGGGCTTTGATGGTATCCCCCTTAGGACTGTAACTCCATCAGGGCACAGCTCAAGATCTAGCACTGTACTAGAAAAAGTACCCGTAAAGCAACATTAGCCCAATGAACACAGAGTGATGAATGATTGAATGAGACTAAAATGTAAAGACGTCATCTCCTTTTCTCACAGTGCTAAAGATGTCTTTTAATTCTCTGCTGGCAACATCTAGGGCATCCTAAAGTCCCTAGGGAACCCTGGGAATTAAGTTTTCAGCAATGCTTTGGCCTGGTCGTTCAGGCCAGGCTGTAAACATGCTTCAGACAACCGTACTTAAAAGAATAGAGACAACCGAAAACTGCTGGACCACAGATCCAAGGCCATCGCACTGTTGGAAACACTTCAATTGTGTTGCCTGCTTTCCTGCCTGCCTAGAGAACATCACCATGTCTGCATCTCTGCACCCCAGCCAGCGATCCACAGCTAAAGACTCGTTTCTTCCTCTCTGTTTGAGTCTCTACTGATTCTGTAGTTGAGGAGGAAGCTAAGTGCTATCCAAATACCAAATGTTCCATATGGTAGTGTTATCACCATTCTCACTGCGGCTACATACAGACTTTCTACCTACACTTGCAAGGAGCCTCATTTGAGTCTGGCAGAACATTACGAACTCTTCCTGACCTATATTTGCCAATGCATCAGTTGTCCTCTCTCTCCTATGAACTTAGTAATTTTGTTGAATTAATAGACATATGTATATAAATACAAGTTTCATTTTTCTATTCATCCTCCTAATCACTTATAGAGTAACTTATGACCCATTAAAGAGCCACTCTTACGCTAAAATGTCTTAATTAGAAATTCAGATGTTACTCTGTTACTGAGAAATACAGAGCTATTTAAATTAGACTGGAAATTAGGGCCAGAATGAATGCACACACACACAAGCCAACTGCAGGAGAACCGGTGAAAGGCAAGGCTGAAGTCATCCAAATCTCCCTGTATTTGCTTCCTTAATGCCAAATAACTGTTTGACCCTTTTCCTTCTACTTTTCAACTTTAACATGTAGCCAAAGGGACAAGGGGCTCAGAACTCCATTTTTTCCATTTTGTGTTTATGTAAGACAAAGTACATGTTGCCTAAAAGCTGGGGGGGGGGTCTCTTACTCTATCTTCTCATTCATTAATTTAGTGAAATGAAGCTTACTGAGTAACAGGGAAAAGAAAGGAGCCAAGTAGGGCAGCTCACATATGTTGTCTGACAGTGAGGGACTCTCGTTGTGTGGATCACAGAGGACCACAGCTTGCCTAGCTCCAAAACACTTGTTGTACCACCTGGGAGTGTGGCAGCCAGGATGCAGGGTGGGAATGGGGCTCTGCTCTCCTACAGGGCTGACCCCTGGGTGCCCCTGACCAAGTGACAGAGCAATGAGTTCAAAGCTCTTAAATCAGGCAGTCTTTCCAGGAGAGGGATTTGTCTATGAATGCAAACCCAAGTCATTGAGAAGTACATTGAACTCTTTTAGCCACCCAGAGCAGAGTGAAAAGAAGGAAGAAGAAGGGAAGAATAATTTTTACCTGACTGGGATTATACTATGGTTTATGTTAGACTTTGTATGTATTTACCTCCATCATGATCATTTTCTTGTCTCATTAAACAGTCTCTTGACATAAGGCTTTTAATGATTTTAAACATGTCATATATATTTATTTGAAGCAGCACCTATTTTTATCCGCATTTTACAAATGTGGACTTATCCAATGTCATGCTTAAGAAAACAGTGGAGATGGAGGCTGAACACAGGCAATCTGGACCTGCAGTCTTATCTAGGGAGATCTGAAGCCTATGCATCTTATATGGTTGCCAGAGTTACAATTACTAATGTCCCCAACTCTGGATACACAGTCAGTCCATACATATATACACGCACATGCTCACAGAGTCTTTAAACTAATGAGAAGTGTAACTTCAGACACATGCTCACGAAGTTTTTTTACTATCTTCTAGTTCTTTTTAAGAAATGAAAAGCTTTGTTTTCTACTGGAAAATTATTGTTATCCAGTGATTTCACAATTATCTAAAAATACTTGGCCAAGAAAGAAGAAGTTAAAATTCCCTAGGGCTCTTCCACTCCTTGATTTAATATTACTTCTCAAATGTCAAAATCTGGTAATTTTCAAGTATGCTACTATCTTACAAAAGGAGGGTTCAAAATACTATGATTTACAAATAAAAAACCTACACACACACACACACACACACACTCACACACTTCTCATAATTGGCATTAAAAGGTTTCTCATAATCTCAAAAGGCAAAGATTTTTGTTTTCAGCATTCTCAGCATTGGAAAATTGTGTGGACATTGATACCCTTATACATTTCCTCTGGAAATAGAAACTGGTATAACTTTATTGACAGTAATTTGGCAACAAGTATCAAACATCTTAAAACCTGAAAACTCTTCAATTCAGCAGTTGACTTATAGGCAATTATCCTAAGGAAGCCATTAATAATGGGAACTCATAAAGAGCTACAAGAGTATTTTTGGCAGCATAAAAAGAAAAAAATTATAAATGACTCAAGGTCTAGTTAAAGGGATCAATTGAATGAATTTTTGGATATCTGTTCAATTTAATCATCAAAACTTATGTTGTAAGGCCAGCATGGTGGCTCAAGCCTGTAATATTCACTACTTGCGAGACAGAGATCAGAAGGATCATGGTTTGAGGCTAGTCTGCACAAAAAGAGTTCAGGAGACCCCATCTCAAACCAATGGCTAGAAGCAGTGGTATGGGCCTGTCATTCCAGCTATGAGGGAAGCACAAACAGGGGGATCAGTGCAGCCCACTTGGGCATTAAGTGAGACCCCATCTCAAAAATAACCTGCACAAAAAGGGCTGGGGGATGGCTCACGTGGTAGAGTGCCTGCCTAGCAAGTGTGAAGTCCTGAGTTCAAACCTGAGATCCCCTGCCTTCCCCCAAAAATACTGTGTTGTAGACAAAAACTTTAAGGTAGGAGGACAGCATGTGTCACTCTGTTCCCTACTACCGTCTGATGGCTGTCTCTCTCTAGCCAAATTTAAGAACATCACCTTCAGAATTACCCTTTACTTATGAATGCCTTGTTACTATCCTAATCAGTGATCTTAAAATGAGTAGAAATTATTTTCTTTCCCACTAAAAAAGCAGCAGTTAATTTTATAAAAGAGACAGGAAGAATAAATACAAGAATAATGTGCAAGTATGTAGACATATGTTTACGCTGTGTATGTGCACATGTGCATGTGTGAAGAGCTGCTGATAACACCCACTGTTAGACACAGCTCAATGAAAATTCTTTTTGGTTAAAGGTTTTGGAGACATTTACCTGTACCATGTGCTTTCATCACAATGAAGAACCATAAGCAGTCAGTTCCTTTGCAGCGGATCTTTTCACAAAGATTTTGCTTGAGTAGGAAGGGTGGTAGTAGAAACTCAATGTAAGATGCCTAACCCTGTAATTATAAAAACAAGATTCCCACTGAGTTAGGCAGCTTCTGTGGCCTCAATTAACATTAGCTGAAGTCTCAGAATAGAGAAACATCCTGCTGTATGATCTCTCTCTCTCTCTCTCTCTCTCTCTCTCTCTCTCTCTCTCTGTCTCTCTCTCTCTCTCTCTCTCTCTCACACACACACACACACACACACACACGCACACACACGAGTTCTTAAATCAGAATGTCAAAAACTCAGCAAGCAGAGACACAGCAATCTCCTTCCCCTAGGATGAGATTCTGACAGGATGGCTTATGTCCCCTGACCTTAGGTATGTCACCATCAAGATGATTTCCCCCCTTCCCTGTCTCACGACTCTAAGATTTCAGAGAAATAACAAGTCATTAGTTCTTCTCCAGCAAATGTCAGGAACATGCCGAATTTAAGGCTCTCTAGGATTCCTTGTAGCCACAAAGTTACCCCAATTCGGTATGCATATTTACCATTACGGCCTGACTTTCATTTTTGAAACTGTAAGTGCCTCGGTGTTGATGGTTCAGGTAAAGGTGAGATCAGAGATATCCAAAGTCATCACCAACACTGAACATGTACTGTGCTCCTGGCACTGCGCTAAGAGCTTGATGCACGTCACCTCTCTCCACTGCATGCTGTGACAAGAAAATCAAGAGCAGACAGCTAGGAGCTGTGAAAGCAAGATTTAGGCCAATGTGATTCACAGAGCCTGCGCCTGTGATGCCAGCCTACACCATCCACAAGACTGACCCTGCCATTAACATTCCCTGCTTATTATGAAAAGTTCAGTATCCAATCAATGTCATTTCATTTTTCCCCAGAGTTGAAAGGTCACCTAAGTCCTGACATTAGTAATGTTTTGGATCTGACTGTTCTTTGATTTTAATTCCCTAGTTCAACTGAACTCAATATGTTCATATTAGAATTGAGAGTAAATTGACAGTCATTTCAGTAAATTAAAAACTGCAGGTAATCCCAAATCTAGATGCAAAACCACTAAAAGCCTAAAACCCAAGTGCTACCTAAGTGGCTGAATTTCATTAAAAGGAAGGCAGACAAAATTAAAAGCCATCTGTGAATTCGTAAATAAATGTATATAGAAATATGGAGGAGTTTTCATATGCAATAGGTCTATGACTTTAAAATACTTCAACATGTTTACCTATTTACAAATTCTACATACTGTATAGTTCTTAGAATCACAGAAACATGAAACAGATCTGAGCATATTTTTGGGCCCTGCTATGGTTTGGACATAGTTTGTCTGCCAGGGTCTCATGTGTTAGAAGCTTGGTCCCAGTGTGCTGATATGAAGTTAGAGGTGGTGGGACCTTTAACAGGCAGGACCTAGAAGGAAATAGGTCACTGCCCCCAGAAGGGATTAAGATGGTTCTCCTGGGACATTGAGAAGGTTCTTGTCAGAGATTTGTTATTAAAAAAACCAAAAACAAAAAACAAGACTGGTCCCTGTCTTTCTCTGGCATCCTGTCTCACCATGGGATCTCTTCCTCTCCCAAATACTCCCACTGCGACCCCATCCACCACTGATGTGCCACAGCCAGGGGCCCTTATGAGGATGGTCCCATGCTATTTGGACTTTCAGTCTCCAAAAGTGTGAGCTAATAAACCTACTTCCAGTCTCAAGTGTTTCATTATAGTAACAAACAATGGACTAATACAGGTCCATGATCATTTCCCTTTTGTTTATGTGTTTATATAGGTATTTATTCACTCTGTTCTGGTTATGCCTCTGTACTTTTGCACATAGTCCTCCCTTGGATTAACATGTCTGTCCCCTCCTTGCCAGGTAGAAATCTATACTTTCTTCCAGACCAACCTGCAGCTGTGATTCCTTTATAACACCTTCCCCTGCTCTCCCCCAATGCTTTCTGGAAGTCCACAGATATAGATGTGCCCTCTTTCGTGTTCCCTAGCTCAGCAACAGCACCACCATCATCCCCTCTACCAAACTGTGTTCCATATTCAACCAGCAAGTTGATATTTGCCACTGGCACAGCCCTCAACCTTTCTTCTACTGGCACCTTCGTGACTTACTGGACTCTTACACTGGCCTCCTGACTGGGCTCCCTGCCACCCTCCAGCCCACCCTCAGCTCCTGTTAAAAGCATAGCAATGGCTTTCCACTGAGCTTTGATTCTTAACATGATCCCCAAGGCCAGGTATGGTCCAGCCCCTGCCTTCTCTTCTGGTCTGCACTCTGGCTTTTCTGCCTTCTTTCAGTTCCTTAAAAGCACTTTACTTTCCTAGGCCACAGGGCCTTTGCATATGATTTCCTTCCTGCTCCCTTCCCCCGAAATCACCCACTCTTTTCATCAAGCTACCTTCTGAGCCAGGTCTCTATCACCTGCTACATGCTTTTAGAGAATTCCTTTCCCTTGTTATAATAGTCACCTTTGTAATTTCACACTTTGTTCATTTCCACCATGAAGCTCCAGGCAGGCAGAAAGGTGGACACTCTTGCCCTCCCACCTTAGATCTTCAGTGTTTAACATGACGTGTTGCATGCTACAGGCACTCAGTATAAAGCTTCTGTGTGAACAAGTAAGGGAGGAAGGGAGGAAGGAAGGGAAGAAGCAAGAGGGAAGGAAGGGAAGGAGGGGGAGGGAAGAAGGAAGGAAGGGAAGGAGGGAGAAGGTAAGGGAGGAAGAGAGGAAGGGAGGGAGGGAAAGGAGGAATAAAGGGAGGAATGGAAGGAGGAAGGGAGAAGGGAGAAAGGAAGGGAAAGAAGGAAGAAAGAGAAAAGGAGGGAGGGAGGAAGAAAAAGGACATCCCATATCAACAGAAAAAGCTGGGCATGGTGGCATGTACCTGTCATCTTGGCTATGGCAGGAAGCATAAAATAGGAGAATCACCATCCAGGCAGGCCCCAGAAAAAAAGCAAGACCATATCTCAAAGTGTAACCAGAGCAAAAATGGTTGCAGGCATGGCTCAAACAATAGAGCATCTGTTAGTAGCAAGTGTGAGGCCCTGAGTTCAACACTAGTACCAGCAGAGAGAGAGAGAGAGAGAGACAGAGACAGAGACAGAGAGAAGGAAGGAAGGACAGATGGAGGGACAGAGGGAGGAAGGGAGAGGGAGGAAAGGAAGGAAGGAGGGAGAAAAGGACACAGGGAGGGAGGGAAAGAAGGAACAAAGGGAGGAATGGAGGGAGGGAAGAAGTGATCAAGGAAGGGAAGGAGGGAAAAGGGTAGGGAGGAAGGAAGGAAGGAAGCAAGGAAGGAAGGAAGGAAAGAAAAGAAGAAAGAAAAAGAAAAGGATGGAAGGAGGGAGGAAGAAAGAGGACATCCCTTATTGGTGACCATTTCATCAGTGTTCCTTGGTTAATTTGTGGGTGGTTTTTCAACTTGAAGCCTGACATCTGCCTGCCTTTGAACAGCATGCAAGGCTCTTATGATCAGCTCTAGCCAGCTGGGTCTCTTCTCCAGCAACACTTGACAATCTGATGCGCTTCTGAGTCCCTATAGCTCCTTGACTGACCCTCTCCACACTCCCTGTCTCTTCTATTTATACTTAGACTTTTCAAACTCACTCATTTTTCAAGACTCTGGGCTAGGACTGTCTTTCTGGGAAGACAGAACTTCTGATACGTTCTAGAAGCTGAAGTCCTCTTCTCCTATGTTTCTACAGCTCCTCATATCTATCACTACTAACACAATTTCCATATTTTCTTGTGCTTGGTTGTTAAGCAAGTCCATCTCTCCCACTACACCACAAGTCCCTTAAGGGCAGAAGAGAGCTAACCCCTCAGAGTTGAGGCTGGCCGTCTGGCACATAAATTGTCAATAAATCAGCATCTGTTGAATGAACCAAAATGTGTATATATAGTCAGGCATCACTTAACAACAGGGAGATGTTCTGAAAAGTCGTTATCAGATGATTGAATCACGTTAATATCATGGAGCACCTACATAAACCTAGATGGCCTAGCCTACCACATGCCTAGGCTCCACAGGGTAACCTATGGCTCTAGGCCCCAAACTTGGCAGCATATTACTGTACTGAATACTGGAGGCACTTCTAAGATAATGGTAAGCAGTTGTTTATCTAAACATGGCTAGACATAGAAAAGGTACAATAAAAATACTAGGCAATGGGACGTTTTCAACTCCATTATAATCTTACAGGACCACTGTATATGTGGTCCGTCACTGACCTACGTCATGTGGTACACACACACACGCACACACACTTCATACGTGAAAAGCTCCAGGTTTAAGCATTTCTACTAAACTAATATAGCATATTATTAAAGGTTGTGAAACTTAGTGGTTGTACATTTGTCTGTCAATGGCGTATCACAGAGAAGATAAAATGTTTAGGACAGAGCCAGCATACCAAGAGCACTTTCTAAACATTTTATAATTACTGTCTTTGTTGTTATTATAGTTAGGGAAACTAAGTTTTTAAATTTATAAATTTATGCTTCAAATATGTCAGTTTTATTTGCTAACATATTGTCCTTTTAAAACATTAATTAGCATGAGCAGATATCTCTGTAAGACCATAAAAATGGCCAGAAAGGCACTGAAAAAACTAAGGCTAAAGGACAGTCTTATTCACTAGAGCTGCAGGACAATTTATTGTTTCGGTAATCTGCAGTCTACGTGTATAGGGACAAAAGCATCAACAGAAGAATTTCTGTCAAAAAATTTTAAAATTGAAATGAAAGAAATAATAAATACTGCCATTCAAGTGCTGAAAACATTTAGCTGAAATGATCAAAAGAATTTACTGCACATTTATTTCTTTTGCTAAAAATACAACAGAGAAATACATATTCATTCATTTCTTTCAATTACTGGACATGGTAACATGATTTTATAAATAAATATTGAGGATCTATCTAATGAATATGCCATAAAATGCTCAAATTAATAGCAAACACATTTCATAGGTAGTCTATTAGATTCTATTCTGATTTAGAATTGCTATAATTTAATGATACAGACTATGTAAAGAGGATAAAGAGGCAAGGATATTTTACAACAATATTTTAGAAAAAAATGTTGGTGATTTACAAATCCTACCAATATATCCAGCAGTTGAGCAGAATGGACCAGTAGGAAATTATCCTACAAAGCAAACTTATAATTCTGTACTATATTGTTCTTTCCCTTGTATATGCCCAAACATAAATGATGTATTAAAATGTCTTATATACTATATGCTATTGAAATACAAGTTATTATCATTTCTGCATTCTGAGATTCCTATTCTCAATTCACCTTTAACTCTGTGATAAGTTGTGAAATTTGAAGCAAGCCTGGTTTCTGTCTGGGCTCAAGTCTTTTCTCAGAGGTGCTACAGTCATAAGGGGAAATGTTATAAGCAATGCTAAATTCCTAACTTCTACTTGAACATCACCAGAATATGAAACTACTTTTAAACTGCATTACAATTCTATTCACTGCCTACAACTATGGAGTGGTTTAAAATAGTTTCAGTATATTATTCTTTATAACACAATTAAAGTAAGAAAGGTAGAACAGACAAAGTTAGCCTAAGAAGTCCTTAATTAGACAATTCTTATCTGAATTCACTATTAATTTCATTATCATGATGATTTCTGGTGAAATTTTGTCATTTAAGGCAAAACCCATCTTCATTTATGCTGGTCCCTCAGTTGAGAATGTCATTCTCACTCATTCCTGTTATTCTTCCTTTAAGATTCAGCTCAGGTATCACTTCTTTGGTGACATGTTCCCATATATATTGTATGTATCCTGCTGTGCAATCTCTCTCTTCCTCTGTAGTATGTGAGCTTATTCTTCCTTTAAGATTCAGTTCAGGTATCACTTCCTTGGTGACATGTTCCCCTATGTATTGTATTTCTCTCTCTCTCTCTCTCTCCCTCCCTCTCTCTCTCTCTCTCTCGCATGTGAGCTTCTTTGGGGCTTTGACCAGGTCTCTGCAATTTTCATAACAACCTACACAGGTCTTTGCACATCATATATCTCAGTAAACACACATTCAATCTGTCAGTGAGCACATACTCTTTGATACTCTGAAGACTGTGGAGAAAAGGCTACTAATTGTGATTTCAAGTGAAAGGTTAAAGTATAATTTTTTCCATTTTTTAGCAAAATGAAACTTTTAGCATTTTCACTTCCAGATGCATCAGCATTACATAAAAGATGTTGAAACTATTTTAAAAAGCAGACATACTGCACATTTTCCTGTCTGAGAATTCATCTGAAAATACCAACCTACACAGGGGCCTCTAAGTGTTCTCAAGACGAGCATTGGTTAAGTGGTGGTTCTATACCCTCACTGGGTGGAAATGTAGAGAAAGACTCAGCCTCCTTAGCACCAGCATGCCCCATGCTGTTCTCTTCAGCTGCCTAAAATGAGCTGCAGATTCCCTGGGGACATTTGCCCTCCCTCCTGATGCTGGCCAGCAACACAGTAGTGAGAAGTGACAGCATCTCGAACCATCAGCACTCACAGCAGCAGAACACCAGTCCTGTTTCCATTTTCCACTGCTCCTGCAATTCTTATTCCAACATGGACCAAGTTCTCACACAGCCGCCTTGAATTTTTCAAGACAATCTTTGAGCCTATGACAATTTGCCTGACTGCGTACATATGACATCATCACACACATGCCAACTCCTACCTCACTCCAAAGGCCACACGTTGGCTCAGAACAGAACAGTGGGCAGCAAAAGAACAAGTTTCTCATAATAATCAACTCAGGCTGGTCCACATTCAGAAGCATTAGTCACTGTTTAGACAATAAATATGGATTTTCTAAGAGGTCACTACACCTTATTTTATGGATTTTAGTTGTTCAGTGCTCCAAGAGTTCCTAGGCTTTGGGTAAGACAAGCCATACAGACACCATTCCTATCCTGATCTGATTTCACTTGGCTGCTGACATCAGCCTTGCTCTATGACCTCTGCCATCCAAAATGAGTCCTGGGATTTTACTGTCAGAATTATACTTCCTCATCATCCCTGTGTGATTTCAAGATTTTGTGGAATATGAAAAGTGACTATGATATATATAAGAGAGAGAAAATAGTAGCAAGAAGAAAAAATTCTATGCTATTACTGTAAGAACAGCTATGATATAAACAAAATTCTAGACCTACAAAATAGTGCAACTATCATCTATGAAGACTAACAGTATAGAATGCAGATAAGCCTACTACCCTGTTTAAGAACTATGTATTAACTGATTGATGCATGCATTTATTTGCTACTTTCCTAAAATATCTTTCTGCTTCCTTTCTTGGACTATCCTGAATTTTGTATTTATCATTCCCTAAAATATATCTTTTAGTTTCACTTGATTTTAAGATTGATAAGTACTCCATCATACTATATATAGTCCTTTAAACTGTTCTTTTTTTTCACACAATATTGTTTCTAAGATATAACAATGTTAGCTCAGGTAGCTGTAGTTTGCTCTTTCCACTAATATATAATAGTCCATTGTGTTACTGAATGGAAATAATTTTGACTTTAACCTTATACTTGAGCGGTAAAGTCTGACCCAAGGCAGCTTGTATACACAGTGAACAGCACCCTAATTTGATGTGTAGACAAATTATAAAGTAATCTAAGAGTATACTCTTGTTACCAAGCAACTGAGTCTTAGCCAATCACAATAGTTGAGCGTCAGCCAATCACAGCCTGTCAACTGATTGGACAATGTCCATATAAGGCCAATGCTGACGGCAGCCAATCATGTTTCTGTATGTCACTTTTTTTTCTCTGACTATAAATATAACCTGTATGTGTGGTGGGGTGGAGCATTCCAAACCAGCTTTGTTCTGAAATGTTGCCCAGTTCTAGAACCTTTTTTCTTGCTCAAGTAAACTCTGTTAAATTTAACTCATGTCAGCTTTTCTTTTAACAGTTTCACAGTGTGAATGCATATATTTCCCTCTATTGATGGACTTCAAAATTTTTTTAAGCTTTCAGATTTTTATTTTTCTGTTAGAAACATGCTGTGTCTATTAGAAACAATACACATAGCCCAAGTTTCCCTGGGGACTGCTGCGGAATGGGTATACCAATATCCGCTACCCAGCAGTGCCAAATTGTTTTTCCAAATGACTACATCAATCTACTCTCCTACCAGCAGGCACCCCATAAGTTCTTAAACTGATCAATCATTTTAGAATTAAACAGGCCTATTTGATCTAAAGCTGGTGCTTAGATTTTGTAGGCTCAAGTTATTTATACACATAAAGAAATAAATACTCAATGTCTTTCTCATACATTGGTGGGTTTATATTTATCACTAAACATAACAAATGAGTTATTTCCTAAGATAGGCTTATTTAGTGCACCACCTCTAAAAAGTGGCATTATGTAATGCCTTGGATTGGACTGAGAGTAAATAATTTGAAGGTTCCATGTGGCTTTATTTCCTTGTCATTCAGTTCTTAAGATGGCTACCACAGGTGTCAAAGAATGCCCTAAGATAACATGAGTCCCAGGGCCCCATGGGACTTGTTCCCTCTTGGAACAAGAAGTCACATGCAAATTTAAAGTATTCAAAACCGTAGAAAATCGACATACTTCTTTATTTTCAGCAATATTAGAGAGAATACATAAATAGAGAGCTGGAATAGATGAGGAAAAGCCTTAGCTTCTATTTTTAAAATAACAAAATTAAAAACCTATAAAGGTTTTTATTATAAAATTAGATTTTGTCAGGCATAGGCATGGTGGGAAAAGATTATTCCCTGTCCATAAGACCAAATGTCTCTCAAATGTTTGTTTGGTCCTGGCTTAGTGTGGGCTCCAAATCAGCCCATTCTCCATCACTTTTCAGGTTGGGCCTGAGTATAGAGTCAGTTAGCAAATACAGGGCATGAGGAGAGGCAAAGAAAACACACATCCATTGTTAGAGTGGCGAGAACTGGCTACACTCTACCACAGCTGACAGTGAAGCTTCTCTGGGAGAACCATTCAACTGCCGTGCTGAGACCAGGGCAATGGGAGATACACTAGACGCCAGCCAACGTTGCTTACAGTCATTTCATTTTCTTCCTCGCAGCCATATGTTCCTGGAGTAACCACTTTCTGGATGTTAAATGATCTTGGCTGTGCTTTTGTGTTCCTTCTCCATTCTGGCCTCTTTCTTTCTGGTTCACTCCACTAGGAAGAGAAGTGGCTAAAAAGGCAGGCAGTGAAGGAATAAGGGGACATAAGAAGCTTTTGCGGGCACAGTGGATGTCTCTGGAAAGCTGAATGTTGATAGAAAGTAAAACAAGCAAGTTATGCCGTTAGTGCCCGTGACGCTGTCTATTTGGGATATTTTAGTGACTATCAGTGAAGTTGCCTCTGATTAGATTTTCACACTGTTTTAATTAAGTCATGTCTATTTTAATCACACTTTTTAGGCTGATAAGCTCAAACCTAGCTAGACAGTGTAGAGTGAGACTTTTCTTCTTGGTCAGGGAAGCCTTAAGATCCTTGTTTATTTTCTATTTAAAAGGTGACTTCTGCCAGGCATAGTGGCTCACACCTACAATCCCAACTACTCAGGAGGAAGAGACTGGAAGAATCATGGTTCAAAGGCCAGCCTGGGCAAAACAGATAAGGAAACCTTATCTCAACAAATACTTTGATTGTGGTGGTACACCCCTGTCATCCCAGCTATGTGGGAGGCCATAGGAAGGAGGATCAGAGTCTGAGGCTGGCCCAGAAACCCTATCCAAAAAAATGTGAAACCCTATCCAAAAAATAACTAAAGCAGAAAGGGCTATGGGTATCACTTAAATAGGGCTGTCACTCAAGTTATAGAGTACCTGGCTGGCAAGCGTGAGACACTGAGTTCAAATCCCAGCACTGCCAAAAAATAATAAAAAGAAATCTGGTTTAAAAAGCCACACAAGACAAGCTGGGAGTGGTGGTGTAAATCTCACTCGGGAGGCTGACCCAAGAGGATCTTGAGTTTGAGGTCAGCCTGTGCTACATATAGAGACCCTGCCTCAAAATAAAAAGCTACCCTATTTGGAGATCTCGTATCTACTATTGGGTGCCTACAAATTTGGTGGGGAAATGTAGTCTGTTTCAACCTCAGGTGAAACTCTAGATCATAACACAGCTTTCAAGATCAGCAATGATACTAAAAATCATCCTACTGCAAAGGAACCCTTCGTAATGCTGACAAGAAAAGATTCTATTAAAATTCAGTCATTTTCCACAACAAAAATCTACTTAAAAATGACTTTGTATTCCAATGTTATGTTAAAAATGTGTCTGGCTTTTTATTCAGCAACTAGACTACCTTTTCAGGAGAATTATGATATTTCACTGTAAGTGCTTAATGAGGAACTAATTAGTCCTCCTCCCTCCTCCTTTAAACTCCTATGGAAAATGAGGTCAGAACCCACTTCCTACCCAAGTGTCTTGTGGAGATTGCCTCAAATCCTACAGTAGCATTTGTCAAAGGGGAGCCCTTTGCAAAGGCAAGACACATAGAAGAACAAATACTCATCAAGGTCTCTGCCTTCAACAAAAAAGCTAACTACATATTATAAGATCTTGCAAAAGAGCTGTTGGAATGAGCTGGACCACCCACCCACACATTCATCTCAGTAACTCCTTTCCTCTCCTCAATGCCAAGAGGCCAGCTTGCCTGCTCCCTGATTCGTTGTCTGGCAGCTACCTCACTCACCTGCAGGTGCTGGGCAGACAGGACAGCTCCTGCTCTCCAAAGCAGCCTATCTGCATCACATGCAGGCACAGTATCCCAGTCACTCTGGGAAAATGGTCCGCTAATGGCTTACTTCTTTCTACTAGAGGTCTGGTGAACAAATGAAAGGTTGTAAACACCTCCAGTGGAGGAAAGAAAATTCCTTCGGGCTTTGTAAGGGAACGTCATCAGCAGTGTCTCCGAGGTGTAAGATGTACTTACACGCTCACCCTTGCAACTTAGACCTGCCCAGTAAGTGTACACCACATCTCTTTCTGGTCACAATCATGGCCACAATGTTCATCCAGCAAAAAGTTACCTTGTATGTTCAAAGAATGCTCTCATGTTTGAGAATTCAAACATTGTCCCCAACAAGCTGCATACAGCCATTTTCAATGTAAGGAGAAGCATATTCTTAAATGCTAAATGAAGCAATGCTGAATCCGTGGTGAAAGAGAGGGCTGGAAGGAAACTATTTGAGCTCCCAGCATAGGTTTAAGTTTTACTAGACGCATATATCTCTGGCTAGGGACAGCAAAGAGAAGCTGCTGAGTTCTGAGCCATGCTGGCCATAGAAGTGAGAGTCTAGAATTAAAAGAAGTGAGTTTACCATGAGGAAGGATGCTTTGATGCATGCCATGTCACCTATCACATACACATTGCAGGAACTGGTGACCAATGTGGCTTGGTTTTAAGATCACAGCCTTCCAATGACTCACTGCTACCTGAAACTCCGTAATTAGATGCTGTCATTTTGTTTAAAGATATTCTCTCTCTCTCTCTCTCCCTCCCTCCCTTCCTCTTTCTCTCTGTCCCTCCTTCCTCCCTCCCCTCTCTCTCTCAGCAATATGCTACCTTGGAAATGAGAATCTAGATCTCCAAAATAAATACATTTTTGTACGGGAAGGAATTATTTACAGGCTTGACCCTCAAGTTCATCAGCTGTGCAATGAAACATGGATACCTGTCTAGGGAGTTTATTACAAAACTGAAGTTCAACACCTATATAAAAGTACGTGGTCCAGACCACACCCACATTAGCCACTCAGACACTGGTCCCCCTCCCTTTCCACAGAGCAGCAGGTCATAACAGAGCAGCTGATGAGGACGACATGAGCCTGCTGGCCTTGTGACGTGGAAGTAACCAGAAGGCCAGCAGAAACAGAGGTGAGGCAGCAGGAACAAAAGGAACCTGGCCAGGTGAGAACACCTGTTTCACAAATGTGGTGTGGTCTGCTGCAGTCATGGTGTGTGGGGGCGGGTTGTGCCCTGATATTTATTTGTGGTGTTGACTGGCAACACAAGAACCATACCTCCTTTGCTCAGTGTTCAGTGGAGGATGGGTGGTGAAGGAGGTAGAGGGTTGCAGAGAAGGTGTCGAGATACATCTGCATAGAAGCATCTATTAGGGAGGGGTCAGGTGCAGGTCTGCCAGGCTGGGTGACAGGTATGCAAGCCAGCAGAACTAATGCAGCTTCCAACCTGCTGGTGCAAAGACTGAGCCCACTGAGTCAGACTCTCCTGTCAACTTACGAGGGCTGGCCACACACCCAAGAGTAGAGCCAAAGGTCTGCTTTATTTCTGGACACATTACTACAGCCACACTGCTCTCTCTGCGAGCAGTCAGCCATTACTGCCTCGAAAGGCCTGAGCCAAGAAGTCTCACCAATCACTCAGGCAGATGGGCCACAGAGAGGACTAAAAATGGAAGTAGGGGAGAGGACCTACAGCAGGCTGATCCAGAAATATATATTTACACTAAGAATACTTTAATCTCCTGAATTTCCTTCTACCCTTGCTGCTCATTAAAATAAGCTGAATGAATAGGAAGAAGAGGGCTATTTTAAAATAATAAACAATGACAGCTATCACAACTAAAGGTGATATTATTTAGAAACATATTTATGTCTAGATACCGGTCCTTCTCTGCCCCCCAGAAAACCATTGGGGAGCACCTATGATGCACAGACACATTTTTAGGCTCATAAACTCACCGGGCTCACTGCTGTAGTGTGACTAGAGTAGAACTTAGACAGACTTGCTTTTAGGAAACTTCAAAATGCAAAAACGGGAAACAATATATGTCATATGCGGAAATCTTAATGTGATTTGAGTGTCTTTTTTCTTTTGCAGCTGCAATGAACTGTTGCTAATATTTTACATTTTGAATAACTAAGATTAATAGTCTTGAGATCACTCATGTTGTGTATTTTCTGTAAGAAATAAAAAAAAAAAAAAACAGCTGCCCTATGCCTCACCCCTCATATACTTTTGGGTCATTCCCACCTTGCTTCCTACGATGGGCTGTGTGCCCAAAGAATGCAATATAACTTTAATACTATCTAAGCCAAAGCATAGCTAAATAAAAGCATCATATAATGCACCACATAGCCAAAGGAAAAGATTTTAGAGTATATGCATCACTGATTATACTCCATTAATACAGATAATTAAAAATTGACTGTATAATAATATTAAACAGCAGGCACAACTTTTTGAAAATTTCTCTCTGGTATTAGCTATGCAAAAACACCAACTGAACATTCAATGCTAATCAAATTCATCTCTTCTTAAGAGCAGTGTGTAATAAATGGGTAGCCTAAAAGGAATGCTTTGAACAGAATGCCTCACTATTGTCTGATTATTCTAAATTTAAAACTCCAACAAAGGAAAGGATTATTCTTCTTGAGGTTCAAGATTCATGAGGATTTGGTAATGAAATTCCTTTAGGAGAGCAAATAAAAAAATTGCTATCTACAAGCTGCCAGTGTTTTATGCCTGTATAGTGTTTTTAAAGCAAAGTCACCATTCATTCAACAACAAATGTTTGTTTGGAATAAATGAATGAAAGCAATGGCCTCAAAATACTTTCAAGTTTAATCACTTATAAGTTATGAATCAGGCAGCAACTTCAATCACTTTTTAAGTGTACAGGCTGAAGCAAGTCAAATGTCAGCTCTCACAAAGTGGGCCAAAGCCAGACCTGGAAATTAAAGTCATGGCCTTTGAGTCTCAGAAAATGACCCCCCTGTTAGAGCCTGTTTCTGGTTGCAGTTGCCTTTCTGCACACTCTCAATACAAGTTGAAAAGTACATAATCTAGACCAGGTGAGGTAAGATTAAGAAAGCACAACAAAGCCAGGCTTGTTCCTGAAATTATACAGTAGTCCAAAAAAGAATAAGTAGAATCCCCTCCCTGCTGAAATACAAAAGCTGAAGGTGGAATTCTTACTATTTAAGTATGTGCTTCACCCTCTGAGGCACATGGAGCAAGTTACTACTGCTAGAATTGTTATTACACCAATATGAAGAAAAAACGTGCCAGCAGGACAATGGGTAAGAGGTGGGGCTCAGAGCTCCCCAGAGGGCTTGGAGTTTATTCTTCCAACAGCACTGCTAACACCCATCTTTTTTCCATTCTGACTTAGAACAGGATATAGTCTGAGAGCCAGCCAGACACTTAAAATCTATTTGTTTCAACAAGGAAGAGAAATATGAGTAGAAGATTTTTTCCAAGTGGAATCTATTTGGCAAGTAGAAAATTCTCATGCATTTCAGGGTGAGGGTTCTCAAATCATAAATCTTAACAGTTTTCAAAACTCATGCCAAGGGAGTTAAGACACTTCATAGTTTCCCCCATACTGAGCTGTCCTTTGTGTGCTAGGCATAAGAAGCAGCAGCCCCCAAAATCTATTTTTGTGGTTCCAGTGGCAAGGTCAACCGAGCAGTCTTGGACAGGCTCAAGAGTACGTGGTTTGTCTGTAAGATGCTTTCCTTTTGCACCCCCAAGGTGCTTTCCC